GAAAGGGGAGAAAATGAGGGTGGGAGTAACAGTGTTTAAGAAGAAATATACTCATTACCTTATTTTTGTAACTGTAACCCCCTGTTCATCATGTTTACAATAAATTTTAAAAGAAGTTATTTAAAGAGAGAGAGAGAGAAAAAAGGAGCCTTGCTTTATTGTCCAAACTTGTCCTGGTCTTAAGCACCCCTTCTTGTTTCACTATTGTATTATTATTATTATTATTTTGGTCTGGTTGTGGGGCCTGAACTCTGGTCCTGGGCACTGTCCCTCAGCTCTTCAGCTCAAGGCTAGCGCTCTACCACTTGAGCCACAGCACCACTTCCGGCGTTTATCTTTTTTCTTATGTGGTGCTGAGGAATCGAACCCAGGGCCTCTGGCATGCAAGGCAAGCGCTCTACCACTGAGCCACCTTCCCAGCCCCTACTATTGTATTATTTTTGTTTGTTTTTTGTTTTTGTCGGTTGTGGGGCTTGAACTCTGGGCCTGGGCGCTGTCCCTCAGCTCTTCAGCTCAAGGCAAGCGCTCTACCACTTGAGCTACAGCGCCACTTCCGGTTTTCTAGTGGTTTATTGGAGATAGGAGTCTTACGGTCTTTCCTGCCTGGGCTGGCTTTGAACCGTAATCCTCAGATCTCAGCCTCCTGAGTAGCTAGGATTACAGGCGTGAGCCACCAGCGCCCGGCTTGTATTATTTTTTAAAAAATAATTTTAATTAATTTATTTTTTGCCAGTCCTGGTGCTCAGGGCCTGGGCACTCTCTTTGAGCTTCTTTTGCTCAAGGCTAGTACTCTACCATCTGAGCCACAGTGCTACTTCTGGCTTTTTCTATTTATGGACTATTGAGGAATCAAACCCAGGGCTTCATGCATGCAAAGTAAGCACTCTACCACTAAGGCACATTCTCAGCCCCTTATTTTTTGTATTTATGTGGTACCAAGGAGTTGAACCCATGGCCTCATGCATGTTAGACAAGCACTCTACCAGTAAGCCACATTGCTTGACCTCAATATTATATTATCTTTATGAAGAGAAAACATTCACACTACATATTGTTATAGACTGAATGTGTCTACCACCAGATTCATAGGCTGCAATCCTAACTCCCATGGCATGGTATAAGGAAGAAGGGTCTTGGGGAGATGATAAGGGCATAAAACTAGGGCCCTCTTGAATGGAGTTCACACCTTTCGAAGAGACTCCAGAGTTTTCTCTTACCCCTTGCCACATGAGCACACAGTGAGAAGATAGTGGCTACAACCAGAAACAGAATTTGCTAGTTTCTTGTCTTAGAATCCCTAGTCTTCAGAATAGGTATTGTATAAGCCTCCAATCTATGGAAGTTTGTTATAGCAGACCACACAGACTAAGACACATGTTGTTTTAAGGGAAGACACAACCTGATCTTCAGCCAGGGCCCAACCCATTCTCTCTGGGCATGTGGAGCCTTCACAGACAAGATAGGAAAACATTTTTCCTAATTTTTTATTTTATTTTTTTAAATTTTTTGGAGTGTGTAGTACTGGGGTTTGAACTCCAGGCCTCATTCTTGGTAGCTAGTCACTTTATCACTGAGCCAGTTCTTTTTTTGTACTGGTTATTTTTGAGATAGTCTCTTGCTTCTTGGCACATGTCTAGATTTTGATCTATTTTAGGCTTCCTTTCATAGCTAGGTTAACAGAGGCCTGGCAAGACTCAGTTGCTGATAGAGGAAGGGTCTTGAGAACTTTTCCGCTTGATTGGGCCTTGAACTCCCAATCTTCGCCTCCCAAATAGGACTACAGATGTGAGCCATGGTCACCCAATGAAGAAAGAAGTTTGGAATCCCACTTAACAACTTCTAGTTAGCCATCAATATCAGTTAAATATAAATCATGTATCGGTGTTGCTGACATAGAGATGTAGGGAGGAGAATGTTTTGATCTCTTCATGGTTTCATGGGATGTTCTGTTTGGTTTCTTTCAGGGATGGGATGTGCATGGCTCAAGGCAACAAGGTGCCAGGATTGGGAAGAAGCTCTGGTGTGAGAGCTTCTGTGGAATAGAGAAAGGAACATGCCTTTATTTGTATCTATTTCCAACAGGACTTAGGAACCTTTTGAGCAAAGATGGAAACCTTGCATTGCAAATCTTTGTCTGAGAAACAGGTGCTCCCAAATGGAAGGCTGCAATGCCACCAAGAAAAGCTGATGTCAGCAGATGGTAGGGGGAACAAAAAAAAAAACTTTGCTGGTACCAAAACTTGTCAGCTACCCTGAGAACTTTTACGAAGTCTTGGGAACTGGTACTGGGTGAATAATTTGGAATATTTGTAGGCTCATACAATTTTACAGAGGGATTCTTCATTGAGTGGCCCACAACAATGGCTCTGATTCATAGTTATATGGGCCTGGATACAGATGCCACTCTCTGAGTTGGTGATGGTTAGCAGCCAGGATGGTTGGAAAACAGGATGGTTGAAACCTTGGTGGGGGTGTGAATGGGAATGGCACAGCCCATGTGCAGAAATGTCAGAGTACTAGTGCATACTTCCCTGTTTGGGAAGTATGCACTCCCTCCCCAGTGAGGGAGTTCAGGCAACAGAGCAGCTGAGTCTGAGCACACTACAGAATGCCGCGTGTTGCTCTGCTGAGCAGGGAAGTGCTTGTAGGCATCAGCAGGCATCCTAGTGTGGGTCCTGCAGAACTTGTTGGTGGCAGCAGTCATGAAGGCAACAGGGATGGAGACAGACTTCTCATCCAGAGGGCCATCTTTGTGGGTGCACTGGAGCCTTAGTCTAGGGATTGCTGTCATGATGAGGCCAATTAGCATAGTTATTTTCAGTACCCATGGACATGTGCAGAAATACTAAGGGGAGGTTTTAAAAGTTGAGATGAAGCAGGAACACTCAAAACTGGTGTAGAATGAGATGTTTGGGAAGCATTCGGTCACACAAAGGAAACTAAATGGTCCAGTCAAGCCTAGGATTCTCTACAGATTCAATGCTTTCATTTCAGACATTTGGATTCTACAGCTAGTAGCCATCCTTTGAGAGCCTCATTTTTATTTGAGAAACAGCGTGACCAGCAGCTACCGGGGACAAATTTTATCATAAGTAGTTTATCTTTGGATGGTCCTCACCTGGTATGTGTGTATGTTGGGGGGAATCTTCTCCATCTGTCCAGAGCATCCTGAGCCACTCCTGACCGTTGTACTTTGCGAGTGTATTTATTCTTGCTTTTCTTCTATTCAGGCATAAGGTCTAGTCTAGCTAATGGCAGAACAGTCATCTGACATGTAAGTTTACCTAAAATGACAAATGACTGACAGTAGCTGTATTTAGCTCCTGTTTTGAAGGAGAATTCTGAGGTCCACAGTGCACTCACAGAAAGGATTGGGCTAATTGGTACATTCTTTTGTCATGACAGACAATTAGAGGGAGACTTTGGGCAGGGGAGCTTCCTGGAATCTGTTATTGACATACCCCAAAGGCATCACAAATGAATCATAGCACTAACTTGGATGTTCTGATGGTGTTGCTCATAGGCCCCAAGCCTGTGAGGTCTCTAGCTCACAGGGTTTTATTTGACACATCCTTGGGAGGGAAGCACAGCAGCGGTCAGGCAAAGATATGTGAGGCAAAGATACCCAGGATTAGAGATGTTATTCACCCCAATCTCTTAGATAGGAACTGCACAGATCTGCTAAAAGCAGCATGTGATGTCAATTTCATTTCATGCAAGCAGATAAAGGCAATATCCAAGGATATTTTCTTTGGCCCTCATTGGTATCCTGGGATAACAAATCTTCAGCAATGAGGGACTTGAGATCAGCTAAATGATGTGGTCTGCAAATTTCTCTCTTTCTCAGTTCTCATATCCAACCCCTTGGAAAACTGTTGACTTCACAGTCAGGATTAAGTGCTGATGCTGTGTATCTCTGTAACTACATTTCTACAACTGCCTTCCTGCCCTCCCTGTTTCTACCTTGCCTCTCCATACCCAAATCCTTACCCCACAAACCACAGGGATCCTGCCAAATCCAAATCCAGGTCTAAGTCCTTTAGTAGCTATCCAGCTCACTCAGGGCCAGAGCCAAAGTCCACACCTCCTGGGCTGCTTTGCTGACCTCAGATCCCCATCTTTTTCCTTTTCCTGCCCTATTCTCCAGGTTGTTCCTCAAGCTTCCTTCTATCTCGGAGCATGCATCTTCCTGTCTTCCTTTCCCTTCCCTCCCATTCCCTTCCCTCCCATTCCCTCCCTCCCTCCCTCCCTCCCTTCCTCCTTCCTTCCTTCCTTTCTTCCTTCCTTCCTTCCTTCCTTCTTCCCTTCCTCCTTCCCTCCCTCCCTCTCTCCCTTCCTTCCTCCCTCTCTTCCTTCCTCCTTCACTCTTTCTCTTTTGTTCTTCTTTTTCCTTCAGATATTGTCTCATTATCTGTAGTGAACCCAGGCTAGCCCCAAATTTGAGATTCTCCTATCTCAGCCTCCCAAAGACTGGTATTATGGGTATGAACTACAATGTACTGCAGTGCCTTTCTACTTGCTTCCTCTCCCCAAGTCCCCCAGATAGCTACACAATTAGTTCCTTTAGTCAGATCTCTGTTTAAATATATTGCCTCCTTAAAAGCCCTTCCCATGACTATTTTCTCTGATTCCATTTTCATTTTCTTCATGATATGTGCCTCCTAACACATTGAACATTTTAAAAATATAATTCCCGGCTTTCCTCTCCACTTTGTGTTAGTTTTATTTTACTTGCTGCTCTACCTCCCTTTCCTACCACATCAGCTTATACTTGCAGAAGAAATGAAACCAGGAGACTCAGAGAATTGCATTTCTTTTAGATAAGCCACTCCCCCACCCCCCCAAAATGTTTCCTTCCTTTTCAGTTTCAACTTTGCAGCACACACCGGTCTGGTGATAATTTTTTTCTAGTGTTTTGACCTCTCTGTGAACTTCACAAGCCATGTTACTTCGTCTCATGTTACCCAGCTGTAGAATGGGAATAAAAAAACACCACTTACCTTCCTTCAGATGCTTGAATGAAGCAACCTCTGAGATGTTCTCCTGGCTTAGATCACTGAGGAAAGGAGCCATGCAGAGGAGGTTTCTGATGATGATAGTATGATTGGAGCTCCAGGAAGGTGGGGGCTGTGTTCCTCCCCTCTCCATTCTTGCCCAGAGAAGGCACGTATGCAGTGTTTATCAGACTTCCTATCTGTGGGAGCCACACTGCACCTGTCTTTGCACCACCAGTCATCATGGAAGTTAACCCAACCCTAACTAGCTCTCAGAGCAAAATCTGGCTCTGGCTTCAATATGACCCAGCCTCTCTCCCTCCCTCACCCTCCCCCTCTTACTCTCTTTTCCAAAAGAAGTTAACACTGCAGAACACTTGGTGAACAAATTAATACTGCTGGTGCTTTCTTCTTTGCTTTGAACACAGAGTAGAAACTTTCACAAGAGAGAACATTTTACATCAGAGGAGTCTGTCTCTTGGGTATTGCTTTTTTTTCCCTTTAGCAAATCTGACGAATACCATAACTCTTTCTCATTTGGATAAATTTCCTGGTTTAGCTGAGAGCTACTGATTCAGTGGAGATTTCCTGAGTCAGGGACTCATGGAATCCATCACAACAAGGTTGGAGCCGGGTGTTTGATCACTTTCAACAAGGACTTGTGGAATAGATGACCAGCACACAATATTCCCACCGAGTCCTCTTTCTTACCACTTTCTCCTTTCTACTCTTAGTTCCTTTCTGAGTGACTTCCTATGTCTTCCCCTCTTGCATGCCTATGTTTCTGTCAGATACACGGGCACTTTATGGTCCTGTTGCATCTGAAGGATTGCTGACCTTCCAGTGATTGGACTACTGACAAGTCCTGTGGTTGGATATCAAAAGATACATTTTCTCCCTCACGCTGCCATTTACAGATGTGTGTTGTAATTTCTTCAGCAGAGAAGAAAGTGTTCCGTGCCTGCCCTCATGTCTACAGAGGCCCAAGAGAGTAAGAGAGAGCCAGGGAAGAGGACGAGGCCAATGTGGGCAAGAGCCAGAACAAACCTTATATAAGCTCTGCCCATTTGGTAAAGGGAAGCAAATGAAAACGCAGGTTCAATGACAATTATAATTTCTTGTCATCAAGCAGGGGTGAGGAAATCAAAATTTTCATTTCCATTTTATACATCACCTTTTTTCAGCATCAATTTTTGCCTTTATTAAAATTTTTTTGGGGAGGGGTTACCAGTTCTGGGACTTGAACTCAGAGCCTGGGTGCTGTGCCTGAGCTTTTTTTGCTCAACACTAGCAAACACTTGAGCCACAGTTCCACTTCAAGCTTTTTTGGTAGCTAATTGGAGATAAAGGTCTCAAGACATTTTTTTGCCTGGTCTGGCTTTAAACTTCTATCCTCAGAACTCAGTCTCTTGAGTAGCTCAGATTTATCGGCATGAGCCACTAGCACCCAGCTTGCTTCTTTTAAAAAACAAACAAAAAAGCTTTTTTATTTTTATTTTGGCAGTTTGAAGGTTTGGACTCGGGTCCTCATACTTGTTAGGCACTTTATAGCTTGAGCTCCAGCCTTGCTTTTTTGCTGTTTATTTTGGAGATGAAGTCCCATGAAACTTTTCTATCTGGTCTCATCTCAAACTTTACTCCTCCATACCTCAGCCTCCTAAATAGCAAAGGTATAGGCACAAGCCACCAGCACCCAGCTACCAATCAAGGTTTTAAAAAAAGAATTAGAGGAGGCAGAAATCTAGTTTTTAAAACAAACAAAAACCCCTTGATATTGAATTAGAAGCACTCCATTTTGTGTGCCAATTTTTTTCCAGTCCTAGGGCTTGAACTCAAGACCTGGGCTGTCTCTGAACCTCTCCATGCCCAAGGCTCTACCACTTGAACCACAGTGCCACTTCTGGCTTTTTCTATTTATGTGGTGCTGAGGAATCAAACCCAGAGCTTCATGCATGCTAGGCAAGCACTTTACCACTAAGCCACATTCCCAGCCCTGCTAATTTACTTTTATTACTATACTTCTTTTTCCCCCCATTGGGCAAATTGTCTTTATTGAGGTCTATAAAGTTTGTAAATTCTATGAGCTTTGACTATACAGCTATTTCTTCCACATTGGGTGATATGTACATTTCTTTCCTTTTGCTTAGTTGTCAGCTGTTCCCTCTTTCCTGCTCATTCCATCCCTCCAATCCCTGCCATTGAGTTGCTTAGTTCTGTTTGGTCAATGTACAGTGCATCTGATGGGTCCCACTGTTGTATGTTTTCTCCTGTTTCCAGGTTTCTGTGTCCTCCTCCTAGTTTCCCTCAGATGTGCACATATATACCACATATGTGGTCAGCAGTATGAGTAGAGATCCTTTGTTTCTCTAGTCTAGTTTACTTTGTCGTATCTCCTTACAGTTTGGATTTAACATCCACATATCAGGGAGACCACATGCCATTTGTCTCTTTGCTCTTGGCTTACCTCACTCAAAATGTTTTTTTTCTAGTTCCATCCATTTCCTGGGAATGCCATTATTTTGTCCTTTCTAATGGCTGCATAATATTCCATTGTATATAGGTACCACAATTTTTGGATCCACTCATCTCTAGTGGGGTATCTGGGTTGTTTCCATATCCTGGCTATTGTGAACAGTGCTGCAATGAACAGGGAGGTGCATGTCCTTGTATCCTGGTTCCTGTTGTTCAGGATAAATGCCTAGGAGTGGTATGGCTGGGTCATAGGGGAGGTCTATATTTAGTTTTCTGAGGAACCTCCAGACTGCTTTCCAAAGTGGTTGTATTAGAGTACATTCCCATCAGCAGGGCAATAGGGTTCCTCTTTCTCCACATCCCCTCCAGCATTTGTCGTTGGCTGAATTTAGGATGCGGGCCATTCTGACTGGGGTAAAGTGGTATCTCAGGGTTGTTTTTATTTGCATTTCCTTTACAACCATGGATGGTGAACATTTCCTCATGTGTTTCTTGGCCATTTTTATCTCTTCTGAGAAATCTCTCTTTAGTTCCCGTGCCCATTTAGTAACTGGTGTGTTAGGTTTGGAGGGATTAGTTTCTTGAGTTCTCTGTGTATACTGGATATTAACCCCTTGTCTGATATATTGCTGGTATTTTCCCCCCCAATTAGTGGCTGTCTTTCTAGTTTGGTTGCTATGACTTTAGTTGTGCAGAAACTTTTTTTTTTTTTTGTCAGTTGTGGGCCTGAACTCTGGGCCTGGGCGCTGTCCCTCAGCTCTTCAGCTCAAGGCTAGTGCTCTACCACTTGAGCCATAGTGCCACTCTTGGCTTTTTCTGCTTATGTGGTGCTGAGGAATTGAATACAGGGCCTCATGCATGCAAGGCAAGCGCTCTACCACTGAGCCACCTTCCCAGCCCCAGAAACTTTTATTTTAAGGTAGTTTCATTTGTTGAGTCTCTCTCCAATATGTTGTGGCCCTGGGACTCTGTTCAGGAAGTTCCTGCCTGTGCTTATAAATTCGAGTATCTCTCCTACTCTGTCCTGCAGTAGTTTCAGAGTTTCAGGTTTGATGTTAAAGTCTTTAATCCATTTTTGTTGATGTTAGTGCATGCTGACAGGCTGGGATCTACTTTTAGTTTTCTGCATGTGGCCACCCAGTTTCCCCAGCACCAATAGTTGAAGAGGCTATGCTTCTTCCACTGTTTGTCTTTGGCTTCTTTGTCAAATATCAGCTGATTGTAGGCATGTGGTTTTATTTCTGGATCTTCTAATCTATTCCATTGGTCTTCGGGTCTGTTTTTGTGCTAATACCAGTTGTCTTTGTTATTATGGCTCTATAGTAGAGTTTGAAGTCCAGCATCAAGATTTTTTCCCATGTTGTCTTTTTTACATAGAATTGTTCTGACTATTCTAGGTCTTTTGCTGTTCCATATATATTTTTTGACTGTTTTCTGTATTTCAGTAATGAATGTCCTTGGGATTTTAATGAGAATTGTATTCAATTTTTATATCAGTTTGGGCAGTAAGGCCGTTTTCAATATATTAAATCTGCCCATCCAAGAACATGGAAGGCCTTTCTATTTCCTGGTGTCCTCTATAATTTCTTTAAGTTTTTAGTTTTCATTAAATAGTTTTTTTACATATTTGGTTAGGTTAATTCCTGAAGATTTTATTTTTTTGAGGTTATTGTGAATGGGGTTGTTTCCTTGCTTTCCCTTTCTGCTTCTCCATTGTTGGTGTACAGAAAGGCAACTGATTTTTGTGTGTTAATTTTTATACAGTACTTTTAACATTGGGACTTCCTCAATTTGCCTGAGGAGGATTTCTGCAAGGGTGCACAATTTATCATTCAAAGAAGGATACAATATTAACATGTCGGTTGTTTCCCCTAAAATACCTAAATTAGTGCAGAGCCTTGATTGCCCTCCTGCAGGTGCATTTAGGTTGTAAATAAACACAGTTTTAAGCACATTTGTAACAGCTGGGCAAGTGAGAGATGCATTACGTGCCTAAATTGATGTGAGTAATGGTGGCCCCTAGAAAGGTTCCATCCCAGAGATCTGATACGCAGAGGTCTGGAAACTCCAAGTGATCTCAGCTTCATTGGCCCCAATCAGGGTTTCTTAGCAAGTTCATTTGGTTACACTGAATTCTAATTACAATAGAATCCATCCAATGGATTGGTCTCTAGAAAGCTTGCATGAGACAAGTAAGATGGCAGAAAATAGAAGGAAGCATATCATCAATTTACACAAAATATCTGTGCAAATTACACCACAACTTGTTGCCCTTTGAGTCTGGTGTATACAAAACAACAGGCCAAATTATTACCATGACAGCAAGGATCATTTTGTAGTTGTTCTACCAAAAAAAAGGTCAATTTGAAGTAAAACTTAGCAGAATTAAGGGCTTCATGCTGCTTAAGAATTGGAAAAGATTTGCAATTAAGAAGGCAAGAAGAAACCAGTAGTAAGAAACCTGTCATTGTGTTTGCTGAAAGAATATTGACAAGGTGGGCTGGGAAGGTGGCTCAGTGGTAGAGCGCTTGCCTTGCATGCCTGAGGTCCTGGGTTCGATTCCTCAGCACCACATAAGCAGAAAGAAAGAAGTCAGCAAGAATATTGACAAGGTCTTTATCATCAAATGAAGTTGAGATGAGGGTAAAAGAATGATTTCAGTGGCTTCCAGAAAGAACATAAGCAGAGTTGCTAGAAATATAG